ATTCTAAAATCTCCACGTTTTCTGTGATGTTTACTGTTTGTCGCTCATTTTCATTGTTTCGTTTTTCGAATGTTTATGCCTAAGCTTTAATCTGCACGCCAATTTGATTCCATTGCCAACTTTAGGATTTATGTTTATGTGTTTTTTCGACGGATCAACATCATTACCCACGGGTGTAAGCCATAAGTGCTTTGTTCTACTTCTAACTCAAGCCTGAGTCTGAAGAATCTCGGCGCAGTGCACGAACTCCGTTGCACCGGCGAGGATCCTGAAATACTTTTGGGTAGATTTTTAACTTCAAATTTTTACCTGGACTGCGCCGTTCGGCTGTTTTTCTATTTCCAACTGCCAAAATACTTTTTTTTACGTGCGCAAGAATACACACGGGCGTCCGAGCTTCTACCCAGAGAGCTTCTATCCGGGTCTTTAAACCCAGGGCTTTGACTGGAGGCGGTCACCAGGCTTTTAGACCACTCAGCCCAACTTTAGGGTGTTACATGGTAAGGCCCGAATGTTTTTCCACGATGGCCGGTCTTGTTCTCTCTTGTGTCCCTAAGATGTCAAATGCTTGCTACACACTCTGCTGTTTCGTTTGTTGGAAACGCCTGACTTGTGTATACAGACGCATTAAAGCGTCGCGTATCGGTGTAAAAACAGTACACCCAGTGTAAAAATACAAGTGGGAAGGCGGGAGTTATCTACACATATGTTTGTTTCTTTATCTCTGATTGGTGTTGAATTTCAAGGGCGGGTAATATTGATAGAAGACTTGGTCGACATTTAACTGACATGGCAGTCACCAAGAGTTCTCTAATGGTTAAGGATGAATTATGTGTACGTCAGATAAGTGAAAGCTTGACAATGTCGCTGACAGAACCTCAAGATATCTGCAGCTGATAGGTTATTCTACAGGAGCATGATAACGTCATTACCACTTAAAGAAGCAAATTGATACTGGTTATTTGGTGTTGGGATAAAGTACAATGGCGCTGGTTTACATTGTTGTAGTCAAAGCTCCCAAATTCTTCTTTGTCTCTTTTTTTTTCTTTCTCGTCATCCTTGTTCTTCTTCTTCTTCTTCTTCTTCTTCTTCTTCTTCTTCTTCTTCTTCTTCTTCTTCTTCTTCTTCTTCTTCTTCTTCTTCTTCTTCTTCTTCTTCTTCTTCTTCTTCTTTTTCCCTCAGCTGTATGTATAAGAGATGTAGGGATTCCCCTTGTAGTCTTTCTGTGGTCGTCTTTCTATTGCACTGTATGCGCTGGTCTTCATTTCTCCAAAGTTGCTCTTGATGTTGTGGCTCCCTTTTGCGTGCTCTTCTCCTTACTTTTTATTCATTACATCTCTTCTGATACGAGTATTGTAGGATTTAGGCATAAACTACAGCTTAAGGCCTCACAGTCTCAAGGGACGTAACAAAACAAAAATCCCTGTTCCTTTTTCACAAATACAGTATTTTTTTTATTATACTTTAAAAAGTGCCACAGAAATGTTCAAATTTTATAAATAATAATTTGGTAATATTATTTCAGCTTTGTATTTATTTAGACTCCTTGTAGCCAATTTAAATTGAATAAAATAATTAGCTTGATATGGCTCAACTTCCATGTTTTATTAACTCATACATTTTACAGTTTTATGAAAACAGCTAGTGTAATTGAAAAAAAAAAAGATAGGGACTTCTGGGCTGTATATAGCTAAGGGCCTCATAAAGTTAAAATCGGTCCTGGATACGAATAATCATGTCACTTCATGTGTTCCCTGTGTGGGCTTCGGGGCCTCATTGTAGGGAAAACAAGAATAGTTCCACTACCTACCCAAAATCATGTCGTAAGAGTCCACTGATTTGAAGTTTTCTTTGAAGTTGGAGTGCATCTGCCTGGGAGCCGAGGAACCAACAGTCTGCATACACGTGAGTCAGATCTGTAAAACGGATGAGCACGCAACACTCAGGTTCTGGAACAAAACTAAAGTCCAGAAGTGGACGAACACCTACAATTTTCCACCAGTGTTTACAGCTGGCGAACAAGAAAAAGAAAAAGAAGACTTTATGAGTCAATCTTTTTCAAGCGATCTTCATTACACTTGCTACAAGTTTCGTCTGGGAAATCGCCAATTATGTGTCTTCAAATTATTATTAAATTTAAACAATGTGGCGCTAATTCAGTGCCTTCATTTGTTTCAGCATTATGTAATCCAACCTGTCAGAACAACGGAACTTGCATCTCTCCGTCAACCTGCGCATGCCCGGCAGGTTTCCACGGCAACTACTGTGAAAAAGGTACATCCCTGTCCAACAGTGCCCCTGCATGTGAGTGTAACTACGTGTAACCAATGTATGTATGTACAGTGTAGCATTAACTAAGACGCATCCATCAACTTTATTTCTGTAACCAGGGTACGTTATTTCCCTAACCGTAGCGCCGTCTCATTAATTTTTTTTTTCAATAACCATGATGACACCGTCAAGTACATTTTTTCTGTAACCATGACACCGCTCAAGTACACTATTTCTGTAACCATGACCATAGTTTCGTTGCCCAGCTTCTGAGCTGAGTGCATGGCGTGACACTGTGAGCTGCAGATTTCATTTGAACTGTGATAAACATTTTGTGTGTTTTTCGTTGGCACAGGAGCGGGGCAACTATGGGGTGACCCGTTTGCTATGAAGCTGAAACTAAGATTACCAGATTACCAGATTTATAACCAGGACACCGCTCAAGTACACTATTTCTGTAACCATGACACCGGTCAAGTACAATATTTATGTAACCAGGACTCCACTCAAATACACTATTTCTGTAACCAGGACACCGCTCAAGTACACTATTTCTGTAACCAAGACTCCACTCAAATACACTATTTCTGTAACCAGTACACCGCTCAAGTACACTATTTCTGTAACCAGGACTCCACTCAAATACACTATTTCTGTAACCAGGACTCCACTCAAATACACTATTTCTGTAACCAGGACACCGCTCAAGTACACTATTTCTGTAACCAAGACTCCACTCAAATACACTATTTCTGTAACCAGGACTTCACTCAAATACACTATTTCTGTAACCAGGACACCGCTCAAGTACACTATTTCTGTAACCAAGACTCCACTCAAATACACTATTTCTGTAACCAAGACTCCACTCAAATACACTATTTCTGTAACCAAGACTCCACTCAAATACACTATTTCTGTAACCAAGACTCCACTCAAATACACTATTTCTGTAACCAGGACTCCACTCAAATACACTATTTCTGTAACCAAGACTCCACTCAAATACACTATTTCTGTAACCAAGACTCCACTCAAATACACTATTTCTGTAACCATGACACCGTTGAAGTACACTATTTCTGTAACCAGGACGCCACTCAAGTACACTATTTCTGTAACCAGGACACCGCTCAAGTACACTATTTCTGTAACCAGGACACCGCTCAAGTACACTATTTCTGTAACCAGGACACCGCTCAAGTACACTTTTTTTCTGTAACCAGGACACTGCTCAAGTACACTTTTCTGTAACCAGGACACTGCTCAAGTACACTATTTCTGTAACCAGGACACTGCTCAAGTACACTATTTCTGTAACCATGACACCGCTCAAGTACACTTTTTTTCTGTAACCAGGACTCCACTCAAATACACTATTTCTGTAACCATGACACCGCTCATGTACACTATTTCTGTAACCATGACACCGCTCAAGTACACTATTTCTGTAACCAGGACTCCACTCAAGTACACTATTTCTGTAACCATGACACCGCTGAAGTACACTATTTCTGTAACCAGGACACCACTCAAGTACACTATTTCTGTAACCAGTACACCGCTCAAGTACACTTTTCTGTAACCATGACACTGCTCAAGTACACTATTTCTGTAACCAGGACACCGCTCAAGTACACTATTTCTGTAACCAGGACTCCGCTCAAGTACACGATTTCTGTAGCCAGGACATCGCTCAAGTACACTATTTCTGTAACCAGGACACCGCTCAAGTACACTATTTCTGTAACCAGGACTCCGCTACAGTACACTATTTCTGTAGCCAGGACTCCGCTCAAGTACATTTTTTATTTAACTAGGACACCCCTCAAGTCCACTTTTTCTGTAACC